GCCTTTTATTTCTTTCTCTTGCCTGACTGCTTCCGGCACTATGTTGAATATGAGCAGTGAGAGGGGCATCCTTGTCTTGTTCTGGTTCTCAAAGGGAATGTGCTTCCAGCTCTCATACATTCATTATGATGCTGGCTGTGGACTTGCTATAGATGGTTCTTATTATTTTGAGGTATGTTCCTTTGATGCCTAATTTGTTTTGAGGTAGACTCCATTCTTTTATGAAGTAAAAACATATAAAATGGAGAAATTACTCATAAGCAGACATAAATATGTTTACGCCAAATACGCAAATAAAAATTAGTAACACATAAAGTAAATAGCATATGACCAAGTGTTAGGTTTTAATAACAATAAGAAATTACAGTCAATCTGGCACTATGAAAATACATATTCATCATATTGTACAGAAAAAAAAAAAAAATCAAGAATTCCCAAGTGCTCAAGTCGCAGCCAGAGCAATCAGGCAAAACAAAGAAATAAAAGGCATCCAAATATGAAGAGAGGAAGTCAAACTACCTCTCACACAGATGATATAATTCTACACCTAGAAAACCCATAGTCTCTCCCCAAAGGCTCCTGAATATAAGAGCTCTCTTTTAATATAAAATAATATCACGGTCACCCAAAATCATCAAGGTTGTCCTTTTAGTTTCTGTGGATTGAGAAAATACATGATGGAAAAAGGCTGCTAAGAATTTAGTGAAGATTTAAAATGAACTTGGAGTTTACTAGTCAGAAGTATAGCTCTACAAATTTGAAGAGCTGTACAAAGATATATGAAACAAATTATTTATTTGGTCTACAGAAAATGCTTGCTTCAAGTATGGATTTACAGATGCTCTGCAAAATGCCATAAGGCTACTACCCCCATCACCCACACCCCAGGGTCCACAATACACAGATTGAGAACCACTGACTTAAACCAATACTTTGAGAAGAGTATTACAGGAAGCCATGTTCTACATCATCTGAGTTTAAAAATTATGATTAAAAGATACCCCCCCAAAATTAAACACTGTTCAGGGAAATTTGGGACTATTTTAAAGAACAGAAGAGGTATAAACATAATGAATTAGGTAACTTATAAGAAAGAATCCTATTTCTAGCTACAGTTACAGATTTAAAGCCCTGGCAGATAACTTGTACAGAAGGCTTTGTAATATTTCTTAAACTAATTAAGAAAAATAATCCAAATCTGTACTGCCAATTGTGTAGTACACTGTGTAGTCACTGTCTCCTTGCTGAGAGTGCTGAGCATCACACAAAGGAGATGTGTGTGTACCAAAGGCAAGGCATCTGTACCAAATGTGGCTTGAGTCCTACCAAGCCACTGCTGCCTCCTTTTTTTCCCATATAGTACATCAAGCCTTTTCATCCCAGAGTACCCAAGTATCCTCAAATTACCCAGCATCTAAATCAGGGATACCCTAAATATTCTAGGCATGTTTGGGTTCAACACAGAATGAGGGGAAACAACTAAATTTCTATGACAATATGTTCAAGTGAAAGAACAAAAAACTCTCATGGGGACTTGGTAAATGCTGACCAGGCCACAAATTACAATGCAAAGAATTGTCTGGGGCCTTAAATAGCAGCTGAACATAGTTACTACTCTTCCTAGTGTGGAAACAGTTAAAAAGGACATTCCAAAGGCTGTTTATCCATTTCAGCATGCTCAAAATCCTCTCTGGCATTACATGCATAACCTCCTTAATGGAACATGGCTGGATTCAATGCCATACTTTTTTGACTATGTGTAACTCACTGATTTTGATAGTTCTTTCTTTTAAACTTTCTTCAAAGATTTTAAACTATGTATCAAACATTTATTGAATGCCTACTTTGTCTGAAATAGCATAGCTGTGTGACTTTACGCAAATAATCTGTGCTTAGTGTTCTCATCTATAAAATGGAGATATCAGAACCCATCACCATAGAGTTGACATAAGGATTAAATAAGATAATGCACTTAAGCACTTAGAAGAGTGTCTGGCACATAGTAAGAACTTAAATGCAATTATTATTATTATTAATCTCCTTTTCTATATAATAATAGCTTCCATATGGGCACTGCATGAGTTATTAATGTATTAGTTATCACAGTGACTGTTATTTAACTGTTTGTGTGAATTTAATTCCCCAATTAAAGTGTAGAATTCTTGAGAGCAAGGAATACATCTGTCATTTTTTTTAAGGCAATACAGTATAGTGATTATTTACATAGACTCCAAGCCAGACCACCTGGGCTCAAGTTCTGGCTCTACTTCTTATTAGCAGAGTGATCTGGGCAACGTATTTTACCTCTGTCTCCCATTTCAATAATTTTCGCCATCATCTACCCAAAAAGCCCCAAGATAGAAAAATGGAAGTCATCCTAGATACCTTTCTCTCTATCCTTCAGCCTCCTTCTACATGATCCAATTACCAATCTCTATGATTCTACACTTTTAACATCTCTACTCTTCATCCTGGTTCTCCACTTTTACTGATATTCCAGGTTTTCATTATCTCTCATCTACACTACTCAAAACAGTCTTAAAGGACATGGAGGACTGAGAAGTAGAAGTAGGCATAAGTTGTTGCTGGTTGGTAGAAAATGGTGAGCCAAAAAACTAGGAAAAACAAGAGAATTCAAAGAACAATGCCAGATTAGTTGAGCTAGAAGAAGGGATTTATAGAAAAGAGTAATATTATAAAGTTCGAAAACTAAACTAGAACGCCAGGCATGGTGGCTCATGCCTTAACCCCAGAGCTTTGGGAGCTCGAGGTGGGTAGATCCCTTGAGCCCAGGAGTTCGAGACCAGACTGAGCAATATAGTGAGACCCTCTATTAAAAAAAAAACTAAAAACTAAACTAGAGCCAAATTGTGAAGAGTTTTATATTCCAAGCTAGAGAATCTGAGTCTTAAACCTGTGGAAATTATCTCTTCTTTTTCAATGGTAAAATACTTACTACTAGTATAAACATGATTAACCGCATAATGCCTTGCCTATACTTCCCTTCTTCCTCCCTCTCCACTCTCAAATGAATGAAAAACATACCTTAAATCTGTATGTTATTACAATAACACCACCTATTTAGATTGTACTATAAAAACAGACAAGGCGCCAGGCGCGGTGGCTCACACCTGTAATCCCAGCACTTTGGGAGGCCGAGGCAGGCAATCACGAGATCAAGAGATCAAGATCATCCTGGCCAACATGGTGAAACCCCACCTCTACTAAAAATATAAAAATTAGCTGGGCATGGTGGCACGTGCCTGTAGTCCCAGCTACTCTGGAGGCTGAGGCAGGAGAACCACTTGAACCCAGGAGGCAGGAGTTGCAGTGAGCCGAGATCACACCACTGCACTCCAGCCTGGCAACAGAGACAGACTCCGTCTCAAAAAAAAGAAAAAAAAAAAAATAGACAAGGTGCAGTTCCTCATATTAGCACATGCTCACAAAAAAATAAGTATAGTCTTCATATCACAGGAAAGTACTGAAGTTTCAAATAACGTGTAATTCAGGTTTCTGGAACTGATAAACTGCTCAGAAAAGAACAGTTTGTCTTCTTACTATAGGTAAGATCTTCCATCACTCAAACATAGTCAATGATCTGCTAAGGGCAAATTCTTAGGAAGACCCCTGCTTTATACACTAGTCATATTAATGTCAGACTTTCTGTATAGACGTATTTTAATAGCTTATGGGAACTAAATGAGTTTCTTCATTAGTTTAAATTCTTAGCCTCTGGGAAGGCACAGATCCTTATGAGATCCTAATGAAAGTTTTGAAGACTATCCCTAGAATAATCCAAATATGAACATATATTAAATCCTGCATTTTATTTCAAGGAGTTCATAAACCCTTAATACACACTTATAAATCACAAGAATACCTATTCTATAGGATTGCTATTTTTCATATGGAAAAAGCAGCAGTTTTGACTTTGTACTGAGAGGACAGGAATTTCAAACTGGTTTTTGTTTGTTTGTCTGTTTATTTTTGGTGGGACTGATTGATGAATTTCCACTGATCCATCCATTTTCTCATCTAGGTCTTCTTTTTATCAATGTCATATTGTCTATGACCATGTAATAGAACAAAGCTAAAAGAGTATCTGGAAATTAAATTTATCAAATTTACCCTCATTAAAACTATGCTCCAAAAAACGAGCTAACTATTTACAATTGGAGATGAGATACAGTCATAAAAGCAAATGTAACAGTGGTATTTATTTACAACCCATACCCCCTTATCGCCTAGTCACATCTGGTGCCAACAAACTAAATCCAGAGAAAAGAATGTTACACAAGTTTTCTTGAACTCAATGTACACAGACATCAGTATGAGTACAATGATGACTAACCTACCTAAGAGATCTCCATACGCAAATGACTCCTATATCTGAATAGTACCAAATCCTCAGACTTGAACTTCTTTCAATTATGACCTAAACCTCTTGTAGAATCACAAGTATATGAGGCCATCTGGTGGATAAAATATGAAACACACAAATTCTTAGCTAGTTGAAAACAGAGTTCATATCTCCTCATAGTGACCAGGTCAATATACTGTTTACTAAACCATGCACCCTCCTCAGAGATTAAGGGCTTGATTCTATTGCTATCACACACCTGAAATGGACCCTATTATTTTAAATACTCCTTAAAAACAAAAAAAGTTCACAGCCACAAAAATCTGGCTGACCTGAACTCTGCATTCAACTAGCTAAAAATTTGTGTTTCTGTATTTAATCCACCAGATTAAAATGGTACCAAGAAAATGTCCCAGATTTTCAAAATAGCCATCGGATGTAACTGGTCTGGAGAGCTATATCCCTTGTTATGACAGGAACCATACATTAGTCATCTCTGCAATGTCCTCATAACCAAATACATTCCTGACAAACAGCACGTGCTCAGAAATTATAACCTGAATTAAAACAAATCATATGACACAACTCTTACTGCCCTCCAAATAAACATACACAGCCTTAAATTCTGCTCAGGTACCTTTAGTGGGTGCAGGTTGTAAACTGATAATTGGTGGCTGCTTTGCCAATGGCATAAGTGTTGGTACTGTCTGAATAATGATGGTTTTTGCTGGAACGCTGGAGTTTGTTTGAGTCTTGGGTGCTGCTGGAAGCAATAAAGGCTTGGGCTGAATTGAAGGTTTTGAATTCACCTGAATTTTTTTCTTTGGAGTCAGTCCATTTTCTGGAGAAAAAACAGACAAACCACAAGTCAATGTGAAAGCAATTAAGCAAGCCCTAAAACACAGATTCTATCACACACCTTGCTACAATACATATACCTGAATGAACTGAAGAAAAGTACTTCAACTGTTACCTTCTTTTCTAGCCAAGCTGCAGTTTTGGGAATGGGACACACTAACTGGTAAAGGAGAAGAGCTAAAATCGCGGAATAACACCCAGAGATTAACAGGTAACAAACGTCATGGTTGGGCCGGGCGCGGTGGCTCAAGCCTGTAATCCCAGCACTTTGGGAGGCCGAGACGGGCGGATCACGAGGTCAGGAGATCGAGACTATCCTGGCTAACACGGTGAAACCCCATCTCTACTAAAAAATACAAAAAAACTAGCCGGGCGAAGTGGCGGGCGCCTGTGGTCCCAGCTACTCGGGAGGCTGAGGCAGGAGAATGGCGTAAACCCGGGAGGCGGAGCTTGCAGTGAGCTGAGATCCGGCCACTGCACTCCAGCCTGGGTGACAGAGCCAGACTCAGTCTCAAAAAAAAAAAAAAAAAAAAGTCATGGTTGAATGGCCCTCCATTCAGTTATCTTTAACAGAAACTTTGAAATCTCTCCTGAAGATGGTGGGGTCTGAGTCTATTTTAAAGTATCTTTCACCTATAAAGACAGAGACAACCAAAGATTATTTCTCCCCTTTCCTCTCCACAGTAATCACTCACAACAAACAATACAGGTCCACCAATTAAAAAACAGCAAGCCAGCCTAATAAACATAAACTTAATCCAGCATTTTCCTTTAAGAAATGGAACCTAAGCTCAATCTGAAACAGAAATAACAGAAGTTAGGAGATAGAGTAATACCAGTCTTGTTCCTAGGACCAGTGACAGGCTTATCTTCCTTCAGTGGCTCTGCTGAAGAGGGACTATTAGAGCTTTCACCATATAAGGAAAGAGGAGACATCTGAGAACTAGAAGACAAATCCAACTCCTCCTGTAGCAAAATAAAAACAAAGATTAATGAGTATAATCCTTAAGCAGCAAATTGCATAGAAAAGGAGGAGACCCATATATAAACAGAAAAACACTTCAAGGTAATTTCAAGGGAAAGGTATATTAGAAACTGTATCTATATATTAAGTAATAAGTGACTATCAGCATGATCCATCTATATCAAAGGAAAAAAAATCAAAATGCTGAGTAAGTCTATGCCATCCTGTTATATTAAAGATATGAGTCATTGATCTGTTTCTACATTTCTTCCTACAATCTACAAACACACACACACACACACAAACATAAAACTTGATTGCTAGTCATACGAACATCCAGTATCAGTATAAGGTTGCAGTTAAAATGCCAATATCCTTTCTCCATAATCTCTCTTATTCAGTCTTAAAAGAATATCAAAAGCAAAATAATTTTATTTTTATCCTTTTCTATTTTCTATTTTGTAATACTGCCTTTCTTCCAAATGTAAAAGAAAGATACATGAATGGAGCAGTGCTATTTTCTTTTTTTTGAGGCAGAGTCTCACTCTGTTGCCCAAGCTGGAGTGCAGTGACGCAATCTCAGCTCACTGCAACCTCTGCCTCCCAGGTTCAAGCAATTCTCCTGCCTTAGCTTCCCGAGTAGCTACGACCACAGATGTGTGCCACCATGCCTTGCTAAGTTTTTGTATTTTTGGTAGAGAGGGGTTTCACCATGTTGGCTGGGCTGCTCTAGAACTCCTGACCTCATATGATCCACCTGCCTCGGCCTCCCAAAGTGCTGGGATTACAGGCGTGAACCACCCCACCCAGCCAGCAGTGCTATTTTCTTTAATTTAGTAGGTGAATTCATAATGACTGAGATACATAAAGATAACATTCGCATTGTCCCAAAGTCTTTTAATATTCAGTGAATCTGTCTCAGTTTGTTAGAATAAAGAAACAACATAGAAGTAGCAATTCAATTCAGACAGAAAAGATGGCATGTATGATCACGCAATAGACATAATCTCTACTTCATACCATCTTCAAAATAATCTATAAGAATATAAAAACAAAATTTAAGAGAATACTTGTTTATTCTCAGGATGTTGCAGACCCTCTTAAGTCTGAACACCCAGAAGCCACAAAGGAAGAAGAAATAGATTTGAACAAATAATAAGTAAAATATGTAACAATAAAAACTAGACCATAAACAAAGTTAAAAGATATATATTGATAGAAAATATTTGCGAAACATAGACAAAGGGCAGGAACAGTCATTTCACTGAAAAGGAAATGCAAATGGTAGCCAAAGGCAAATGTAAACTTTAATCACAAAAAAATTAAAATGACCTGGAGAGGATATGGGAGAAAGGGATGCTCTTAGTCTCACTGGTGAGAGTGACAATTGCATCTTCATTCATCCTTAACACCTACTCAGCACGTAAGCTGAGCAAAATGTAGAGTGTATTAAAATATATTTCCAAGAAACCAAAGAGTACAAGGTAACATGGGAGGAGACTATTATCTTCATGGCCTTCGATGCTTAAAAAGTATTTGATAAAATTCAACAAGTATTCCTCAATAAAATCCTAGAAAACAAGGATTCGAGGAATACTTTCTTAACATTAAAAAGTTATAAGTAATTATACAGCCAAAGCCAATGCTGAATGCATTACAATTAAAGTCAGGATAAAAAATAGCTACCTGCTTTTTCTGTAATTCTAGTATAATTACACTAAAAGAAGAAATTAAAAAAACATTAAAACAAAAGAGACAGCATGCCTTTTAGCAAGGTAATATGCTATACACTTGAAGCACATGTAACCATCCACTGGCAAAAAAATTTGACCTTGAAAATATTATATTAATACTCACTTAGAAAATACAATAAAAAATAAATATTTCAAGTCAGGCACGGAAAGACAAACATCACATGTTCTCACTTATTTGTGGGATCAAAAAACCAAAACAACTGAAATCATGAACGTAGAGTAGAAAGATGGTTACCAGAGGCTGGGAAGGGTACTGAGAAGCTGGTAGTGAGACGGGGATTGTTAACGGATTAAAAAAAAAAAGGGGAGAAGGAATAAGACATATTATTTAATAGCACAGCAGGGTGACTATACTCAATAAGAGCTTAGTTGTACATTTTAAAATAACAAAAAGACTGTAACTGGATTGTTTATAACACAAAGGATAAATGCTTGAGGGAATGGATGCCCCATTTTCCATGATCTCATTATTTCACATTGCATGCCTGGGTCAAAACATCTCACGTACCCCACGAATATATATGCCTACTATGTACCCAGAAAAATTAAAAATAAAAAAGATTTAAATAAAACAAATAAATATTTCACTCACAATAGCAATAACAATTACAAAATACCTAGAAATTTTCTAAGGAATGTGCAGGACCCATATGAAGAAAACTACACAACTGAACTAAGAGGCATAAAAGATTTGAGTTAACAGAGAAATACACAATATTGTTGAACAGAGTGATTACAAATGATTACAAAGATAATACAGTTAGGAAAACTGATTCATTTCTATAGAGAAAATTAAAACTAGATCCCTACCTACTGCTGGATCCCTACATAATAGCACATATTAAAGTGGAGTCTAAGAGTATTAAGAACCCTAAATGTGAAAGGTAAACCATATGGGTAATAGAAGAAAATGCAGGAGAATATCTCTGTGACCTAAAAGCATGGAAGGACTTCTGAAATAAGCCATAAAGGAAAAGAAAAAAAAAAGATAAGCCTGAGTAATTCAAAATTAACTATTTATACTTAATAAAGACTACAAAGTTAATAGATAATAGAGAAAAGATATAGGCAATTTGAATGTCTAAATCCAACAAGAGTTTACTATTTCAAATATATGAGGAATTTCTACAGATAAACAAGAAGACAACAACTGAGTAGAAAAACCGGCAAAGGACAGGAATAAACAATGTATAAAAGAAGTCCAAAAAGCTCATAAGAATATAAATAAATGTTGAAAACAATAACCAAAGAAATACAAAGTAAAACAAAACAAAAGCAAACAATAACAAAACACATTGTGCCATGGGGTAAACATTAAAAAGGCAGATAATGCCAAGCATCAGGAGAAGTCACAGGGACCCTCGAGCACTGCTGCCAGCCCACAGAGTACTGTGATGATCCTGGAGAGCAATATGGAAGCACTTGTCAAATTAAATCTCTGCACATTCTATCACCCAGCAATCCTAGGCATATATCCTAAAGGATTTCTCACATGAGTCCGTAAGGAAACATTTTTTAAAATATTCCTTATGGTGTAGGTAAAAATGTAGTGAATGCATACTTGAATGTTGTACAGAGTTAGATTCAACAGATTTGATTACACAGAGCAATAGGAATTGATCTTAAAAACACTGTGCTGATTTTTAAAAGTGAATAATGTAAAGATATATACTATAATACCATTACATAAATTTAAAATACATGCATATAATTGAAATCAGATGAACTTTTTAATAAATGGTACTAGAATAATCCTTTTGGTAGTCATTTGGAAAAACATAAAATTGTATTTGTATCTCATATCATACACAAGGGTAATTTCAAATGGATCAGAGATCTAAACGCTAAAAATAATATCTCATGATAAATATTTATTCATAGTCACTTAGAAAATATTCCTTCCTGAATAATTTTATCCTAAGCCACTAGATGGGGCAAGGCAAGACCACCATCCATGCAGAGAAGCAGCCTGGTGGAATGTCAGGGTCCAAGAATGGTAGAGAGGGCACTGACATGGCAGGCAGCCTGGCATGAGGAGTCACAGCAGAGTGATGAGGGCATCCACATGGGAGACAGCCTGGTGTAAGGACATCAGAGCCCAAAGGAGACATGTTAAAAGAACATAAGAGCTGGTGTGAAGGGACCCCCACTGACGAAATCCAGGACAATGTAAGAATCAGAACAAATAATTACAGTAATGGATTATAATCTGTTGCATAAAATAAGAAATGATGAATCTATATTGATATTAACAAATAAGTGAACAAATATAAAGTTTGATGAAGAACAGGATATTTTTACACAGTCTTAAAGTATCTTCCTCACAAAATATGTATGGCAAAGAGAGAAAAAGCAACTTCACAATGGAATAGGTTGGCAGATAACATCTATGAAGTGATCAAAGTGAACATAATCAGTATTAGAAAAAATCAAAATTGAGTCATCAAAAGTAAATGAGATGGACACAGACATCACTTTCCTACCACAGATATAAAACCTGAATATGATCCTAAAGAAACATTAGACAAACCCAACCGAGAAACACTCTTCAAAATAACTAACCCCTAATCCCCAAAAGTGACAAGGTGAAGAAAGTCAAGGATTAATGAAGAACTGTTTCATACTGAACAAGATTAAAAAGACAAGACAACCATATGCAATGCTTGATTCTGAACTGGGTTCTTTTGATAGTCTAAAGGACACCTCTGGGATATCTGGCACAATTTAAACGAGAGCTGAAGGTTAGATTATAGTAACATATCAATGTTTATTTCCCGATTTTGTGCTTGTATTATGGCTATCTAAGAAATATCTGTGCTTGTAGGAAGCAGACACTAAAGTATTGCAGTGATAGGGCATCGGACTGGTAACTTACTCTCAAATGCACAAGGAAAAAACAAGTTATTTGCAATGTACTAACAACACTTCTGTGAATTTGAGATTGTTCCAAACAAAAAATTAACTTAAAAAAAGTAAGAATAAAAATATGAGTGAATTATTTTATAACCTCTGAGTGGTGAAAACCTTCCTTTGAGTGACCAAAAAAGCAATTAAAGAAAAGATCAATAATTTGGCTATAGAAAACAGTATACCCAGGGAAAATAAACACCAGAAACAAAGAGACAAAAGAAAAACTGGGGAAAAAATATTTGCAGCTTATTTCACAAACTAAGGACTAATAACCCCAATATATAATAAAGCTAAAATACTAAAAAGACCAATACAATTCAATTAAAAAATGAATGGCCGGGCACCGTGGCTCATGCCTGTAATCCCAGCACTTTGGGAGGCCGAGGCAGACAGATCACCTGAGGTCAGGAGTTCGAAACCAGCCTAGACAACATGGTGAAACCCTGTCTCTACTAAAAATACAAAAATTAGCCAGGCGTGGTGGCAGGCGCCTGTAATCCCAGGTATTCAGGAGGCTGAGGCAGGAGAATTGCTTGAAGCCAGGAGGCGGAGGTGGTAGTGAGCCGAGATCTGCTATTGCACTCCAGCCTGGTGGACAAGAACGAGACTTCATCTCAAAAAAAAGAACAAAAATTTGAACTGACAGTTCATTTTTTAAACAGAAATGCAAATAGGCCTTAAACATATAAAACATATGAATAGATATTTAACCATACTTATAATAAAAGAGATACAAAATAAAACCTATTGTGGAGTGATGATGGGAAAACGGGCCCTCTTACATACTGCTGATGAGGATGTAACATTTTACAACCCCTATAGAGAGAAATTTGGCAATATCTAGCAAAATTCAAGTGTATTTATCCTGGTTTCAGCAATCCCACCTCTTGGAATATATCCCAAAAATATCCTGGCAAAAATATAAAGTGACTTATGTACCAGGTTATTTACTATAGGTTATTTGAGTCTGGAAAAGACTTATGTACAGGTTATTTGGGTCTGGAAAAGACTAAAAACAACACAAATATTCATCAATAAGGAAATCACTGAATTAAGCATGATAAGGTTATGCAATGAAACGTTATGTAGCATAATGGGAAAATTATATACTCTGAAATTAGAGTTATCCTGCTAAGCTAAAAAAGCAAGGTACAGGACAGGGTATATAGTATGCTACCTTTTGTGTAAAAAAGGATGGAAATGACATGGATAGAAACCAGGCTTTTCTGAATATATCTTATTATATAATTTTGACTTCAAAAATAAATTATTAATTTTTTTAAAAAATTATATCATTTGGAGAAATTGTGGGACCTCAGAGAGCTACCAATAGTAGCAATCCGAGAAAAGCTTCATAAAGGAAGTAATTTTTGAACTGGGACTTGAAGGATGAGTTTTCCAAGACAAGAAAAAAAATGGGGCTATTCTAGGCAGAAGAAAGAGGACGTGCAAAAACCTAGAACTGTAAGAGCAGCTATCTCACTGCTGTTGTTCACTGCCAGCATCTGGAACAGTGCCTGGCACAGCGGTTGAATGAGTGGAGTGCATAGGAGCTCTCAGACAGGAACTCTCACAGGTCTCAAGTTAAGGGGAATGTGGAAGTAGGAGGGGATAGCAAGAAAGGAGACTGGAAAGGTAAATGCAGGCCAGATCATGGAGGGCCTAGTACTCTGGGAATTTAAATTTCGTCCTTGTAAGGACTGGGAAGTTACTAAAGTTTTAAGCAAATTACTGATACAGTAAAGTTTGTGACACTGAAAGATTTCTCTTTGAAGATTCCATGCTAAGAAAGGTTTGAGGAGTTGGAAGGCTGACCAGTTAAAATCTTATTGACTTAATTCAGGCGAGATGGTGATGGCCTGACAGGGGCAGAAAAGATAAATCCTTGAATTAAAATGTGCATACAACCACCAGGATTTAGTAACTAAATGTAGAGCCTGCAGGAACAAAGATACCACAATTTATAGCACATGTAATATACTAAAATATTATTTGATTTTTTTATTTTTCTACATTCCCTTTCCCCATTCTAAAAAGCACCTAAATCAGGTACTTCCTTTTCCTGGCCTCAGGGCTTTTGTTTGGACACAAAGCAGAAGCATTCTTAAAAGAGCTACCGGACTTCTATAAAAATGTCAGCCACTTCAAAAGGTAGCACTAGGCATTCTCAAACTAAGGCAATCATTCTAGATGCTGTGGCTAAAGAGTTATAAAAACTGACCATCTTACATTCTTCTATGTCCATATATAAAGAATGTATATCCTAATAGGGAGGAGAAAGAAAGGGAGGGAGAAAAGACAGTAAGCCAAAAAACAAATACTGGATACTGCTAAAATGCAATGAAACAAATGAAACAATGAAATTATGGAGGCATGAACAGAGGGGAAAGAGGGCAAAACCAAAGGCACTAACAACTTTCTAGCTCCCATAAGGCCCTTTCTAAAGTCTCAGTTCCCTCATTAAATGAGATAATATAGCCGGGCGCGGTGGCTCACGCCTGTAATCCCAGCACTTTGGGAGGCCGAGGCGGGCGGATCACAAGGTCAGGAGATCGAGACCACGGTGAAACCCTGTCTCTATTAAAAATACAAAAAACTAGCCAGGCGGCGTGGCGGGTGCCTGTAGTCCCAGCTACTCGGCAGGCTGAGGCAGGAGAATGGCGGGAACCTGGAAGGCGGAGCTTGCAGTGAGCCGAGATCGCGCCACTGCACTCCAGCCAGGGGGACAGAGCAAGACTCCGCCTCAAAAAAATAAAATAAAATAAAAATAAAAAAATAAATGAGAGAATATAACTCACAGTAGTATTCAATAAATGTTAACTGTCTCCCCCATATACATATTTTCCAGATAGCATATTATAGCCAAAATCATTGTAAAAAACTGGCTACTCACAGGAACATGCTGAGTTGAAGAATAAGAGTCCACTGACTGAGGAGACGAGACTGAATAACTTGAGGAGGCTGGAGAAAGTGGCTGAGGTTCTGCCTTAATATCTTTAACTGGAAAACATGGAGGAAAGGTTTTACCCACTGAACAATAAAAACTTAGAATAAAATGGACAAGAAAGAAGGTAAAATCTATTTTTAAAATTCAATCGGATATGGAAGCTAAGGTCACCAAAATATAACAAGTGAAAAATGCAAGATGCAGAAAACAATATATCTAGTAAGCTTCCACTTGTATAGCAAATTATATATGTGGGGAGGGGGGCTGTATATATATGTATGTCTGTGTGTGTGTGCATATATGTGTACACTTGCATCTGCACTAATTCTCTGGAAGGGTAAACAGAAGAAACTGGTAACAGTGGTTGTCTCTGGAAAGCACTTGTCAGCTAAGGAATAAAAGCAGGAGACATTTTTCTACTATACAGATTTTTCTACCTTTTGAATACTATACCATATGCAAAATATTATAGATTCCCAAAAACTTACTTAAAAAAAATAAGGAACAGGAAATAATTATTTTGGAAAGCATTTTTGACAATACAATTAAAACTCATAAAAAATGTTCATATCTTTTAAACTATTAATTTATCCTATAAAAATGTACTGAGCAACTATGGCCCAGGCAGTATCCCTTGGTGTCAAAGACAGAATAGGGTGGAGATGGCAGATTGTGTTTTCCAAAGTTAGCCATGCAGTATCTACCATCCCTCATGATCTTCCCTCATGATCTTCTACAATGTGATCTTGCCACTTTCCCATCAAGAAGTAGAGTTGATTTCTCCTCCCCGTGAATTTAGGTGGGCTTGACTCCTTCAATCAAGAGAGGATAGAAGTAATGCTATGTGAATTCTGAGGCTGGAAATGCAGCCTCTGCTTTGTGTCCTGGAACACTCATACTTGGAGCTTTTGAAGTCTGACTACCCTGAGACCACCATGATTTGAGAACATTACACCACATAGAGAAGCCCTATGCAGGCACCCCAGTTGGTAGTCCTAGTCTTCAAGTCATTCCACCCCAAGTGTCACGCATATGAGTAAAGAAACCTCAAGATGATTCTAGCCCCCAAATGTCAAGCTACTACAATCTTCAAATCTCCCCAGTTGTGGTCTGGACATCATGGAGCAGAGACAAGCCATCCTTGGAGCACCCAGTCAAAATTCGTGACCCACAGATTCTAGCAATCCAATAAAATGGTTGTTGCTTTAAGCAACTAAGATTTAGAGTAGTTTGTCAAACAATAAAACCAGAACACTGACTTTGTGTATCCCACATTCTATGAAGACAGACAGGCATGAAGCAATATAAGTAAATACATAAAATGAAGAGAAATGGGTAGTGCAGGGGAGAGAGGAATTTAGATAGGAGAATGTGCTGGTTATTTACTCACTGTCTCTCAGCACTAAGTCCACTTTCTATAATCAGTGATACAAATTATTCCCAGTTGGCATCCTTTTAGGTCCTGTCAATAGGGGATACTAGAAGCTAGAAGGGAGGAGGGATTTTCTTCATTCTACCATCAGCTGTACCCCAGCATTGGCAATTTGCTCCAGGTTCTGGCTTCTTTCAGTATACTCAACCCAGACGTCATCAGGCCCCCTTAAAGATACTGGCATCACAAGGTGCTGCCCCTTCTCAGAAATACATGTATAAAATGCATGGGACTCCTCCACCAAGTTCCTAGGTTCTGGTAAGCCCTGTCTGGTTCTCAGGTTAATCTTATATAGGGACATTATTCATAATTCAAAATAACTGTTTCTATTTCTGATACAAACTATTCATTCATTACACTACTGAAACGTAACTATGAAACTCCTCATATCCATTTTTGGCAAGAAATTTGTTTACACAATTGCCATACCAGAAGTAGAATGCATAGCACCAGGAATCTTTTAACCTACCAGTATAGCCCAATAACCCCACCTAATTTTGAGTATGACCAAACTACAAAATAAAATTGATCTTTTTAAAACTTTTACCAGTGAAATACATAATTACCTGTACAGATTTGGTTGTTAATGTCCCAAATGTCTGACTCCCAAGGCATCAAATCCAAATCAAAATCAAGATGATCAAAATTGTTTTCCTGTAGGTTTCAAATCAGCAAAAGAATATTAAAAGAATAAAACATACACATCTTAAAATCAAACTGTCAAGGCACAATTTGGCACAAATAATATAACTGCTACTAGCCAACCTAGTAAAAAGAATACTCTAAGTCAGTCTTGTATGAGAATACATCTTGGATAGCCTAGAGATAAAATCAATTCAGTTACTTGAAGCACAGCAGCAACAACCAGGAAAGAGGTAAGGGATTCAGTATTTAAAACATTCAGTTGGCTTCATTCTTTTTTTTTTTTTTTTTTTTTTTTTGAGACGGAGTCTCGCTTTGTCGCCCAGGCTGGAGTGCAGTGGCCGGATCTCAGCTCACTGCAAGCTCCGCCTCCCGGGTTTACGCCATTCTCCTGCCTCAGCCTCCCGAGTAGCTGGGACTACAGGCGCCCACCACCTCGCCCGGCTAGTTTTTTGTACTTTTAGTAGAGACGGGGTTTCACCATATTAGCCAGGATGGTCTCGATCTCCTGACCTCGTGATCCGCCCGTCTCGGCCTCCCAAAGTGCTGGGATTACAGGCTTGAGCCACCGCGCCCGGCCGGCTTCATTCTTTTCTATGAGAATGACCATTACAGGAATCAAAAATGTGTCTTTTATCTTAAGGGAAATCCAGCAAAATACATTTTCCCATTGCCATTAAGAAAAACAAGACAAAGCAAATGCTATTCATAATATAATCTCTATATACAATAGAAATAATATAGATATACCCAAAAGACAGGCAAGAATCATAAAGAGGTAGTTACCACTGAGTAATTTTCTTTCTTTTCTACTGTTCTATACTTCCTAAATTTCTAAAACTTTTATGAATCCAAAAAAAAAAAAACACACACACACTTTTTAATCCTATAAAATAAAACTACGTTTCTCAAACAGGAATCAGCAAACTTCTTAAAGCCTCCAGTAAGTTCTTTTCATTTAGGTGGTTTTTCTAACTGAAATATAAGCATATTCTGGGTCATCCAGATAACCACCTTATACTATATACATGAATAAAGAAGTGTCACATAATTTCAGAGCCCTCATGTAAGTCTGAGATCAAGTTAGTACCAAACAGTACTTTTTTAATTAAGTGTCTGGAGTCACAGAGACAAGGAGAGAAGTAAACTTAATACATAAATAATGCAATAAAGTCAAAAGGCAGTAAATATTAACTTAACGTCACAGATGATAAAACAGCAACAATAGAATTGCTTGAGCCCAGGGGTTCAAGATCAGCCTGGGCAACATGGCAAGACCCATCTCTGCCAAAAAAAATACAAACACTAGCTGGGCATAGTGGCGTGCACCTATGGTCCCAGCTACTCTGGAGGCTGGGGTGGGAAGATGGCTTGAGCCCAAAAGATAGAGGCTGCAGTGAGCCAAGATCATGCCACTGCACTCCAGCCTGGGAGACAGAGCCAGACCCTGTCAAAAAACAAAACAAAAACAACCAAACAAAACAGCAACAATAAAATACACCTCAGGCAAAAAAAAAAAAAAGTAAAAATGTATCTAGGAATTGGTAACAACCATTTGTTAATAATTTCTAGAAGAATACTATCATTTCAAAATGACTATTATATGGTTCATTTTTATTGAGAATATAACAGAAATAGAGAAGGGACACTATTTTCTTATGATGCCCACAACTGAATAAATATTAGTACAAGGTACATAGAGAGTACATGTGAAAGTGCACATGAAAAAAAAAAACTATCATAAAAAAACTATTTTTAAAAAAATCAATCTCCTTCACTTTTTTCTCTTATTTGGATATTCACACCAAAAAATTAAGCAGCTTTGGCCAGGCGTGGTGGCTCATGCCTGTAATCCCAGCACTCTGGGAGGCCGAGGTGGGCAGACCACTAGAGCTCAGGAGTTCAAGACCAGCCTGGCCAATGTAGTGAAACTCCGTCTCTACTAAAAATACAAAAATTAGCCAGGTGTGGCAGCATGTACCTGTAGTCCCAGCTATTCAGGAGGCTGAGACATGAAAATAGCTTGAACCTGGGAGGCAGAGGTTGCAGTGAGCCGAGATCACACCACTGCACTCCAGCTTGGGCAAGAGAGTGAGGCTCTGTCCTTTAAAAAAAAAAAAAAAAAAGGCCGGGCGCAGTGGCTCACACCTGTAATCCTAGCACTTTGGGAGGCCAACGTGAGAGGATCACAAGGCCAGGAGATCGAGACCATCCTGGTTAACACGGTGAAACCCCGTCTATACTAGAAATACAAAAAAATTAGCCGGGCATGGTGGTGGGCGCCTGTAGTCCCAGCTACTCAGGAGGCTCAGGCAAGAGAATGGTGTGAACCCAGGAGGTGGAGCTTGCAGTGAGCCAAGATCGCGCCACTGCACTCCAGCCTGGGTGAAAGTGCGAGACTCCGTCTTAAAAAAAAAAAAAAAATTCAGCAGCCTTATACTTTCAGCAACCAAAAAATCCTTAAACTTTCCTAATCTAAGTAAAGTTACCAATGTTGCTTGCCTGAGTGCCAGCAATACTTTTAAATAAGGGCATGACCTACTTCAGGAAACTCTGACTCAATCTTCAGCCAAATAAGTCAAATACCTTCTACAGCATAAAGATTTTATCTCGTCAGAAATTTAACAGGCCCAGTTTATGCAAAATGAAACATACAGGCGCTTATATACTCTAGCTCTTCAGTGATTTAGCATGGGAAATTCTACTGCCACTTGGAAGAAGAATGACATAAGGGCTCTCAGAGATTCAATCCCTTCATGTCATACTAGAAAAACTAAGGAACTGAAAGACTGAGTGATTTTCATAAAATAACAGAATGTTAGTTGTAAAATCAGGAATATATTTCCCTTAATCTTTCCAATTGAGCACAGTTTCTTGACACAGTTTAAAAGAAACACTTTCTTTTAGGATTCTACATGTTACGAAATATGAGTATCAGTTGCTTATTCAAATAGTCAATATTAAAGGGCAATTTAATCAACGGGCCACATTCTAAAGTATCCCATGGAGAAATGAAACCATTAAAATCCATGTACTGAGTTTTTAAAATATATCATGTGCTTCATTCTCTTCTGTCAATTCATGGTAAAACAACTGCTAAATCATTGTTTAAGAAATATCTGAAATTCACTAAGCAATCTTTACATACTTTGTACTTAAGTTAATAAGAGCTTAAAATGATGTGATATTCAACCTGATTGATAAATTACTTTGCTCACTTGAATTACTTCTTAAGTGAAATAGCACCTCATCCATTAAAGAATAAGACAAAATCAAAATTCTATACGGCAAAGAGCTTTATATGTACTAATCAAGAAAAGAAAATCTAAGATACTCTTGGGGACTCAGAGTGTTATAGTAGTTTTTACACAGACCTCCAACCAAAGGTAAGGATATACCTACTTTTCAGAGCTTTCTACATGAATATACAACTTTTAAAAAGGAAGTTGGTAAGTTCTGCTTGACTTACCAACTTAGTCAAGCAGAACTTACCAACTTCCTTTTTAAAAGCAAAGAATCTGTAAAAACCAAGAAGTAGGCAGGTTAGCAACTTTTCCAAAGTCACCTGCCAATTCCCTTATGTAGCAAACTATCTGTAAAAACCAAGTAGGCAGATTAGTGACTTTTCCAAAGTCACCCACCCCTAGGGCCAAAGGTGGGCCTAGAATACAAGTCTCACACCAAGACCAATGCAATTTCTACTGTCTTACATTTACTGACTACAAAATGGCTATTAACTTTCATACTTAATGGTAGAAGCTATTTACCCATTAAGTATGTAGCTTAAATTATTAGCCTGAACCTGCTGTCCTGAAACTTTCTTGCAATAATTAGGGTTAAAGACTAAATATCACATTATTCAATCTTAGTAAATACTTACATACGTCTCATTTGCTGCTTCCAATTGCAGCTCATCAGTGTCTGTGAAATAACCGAGTTCAGCAAACAGGCCAGAATCTTTGGACAAAGGAAAAGAATAGAATGAACTACCAATTCAATTATTTGACAAAGAAACAAGTACTGTATCCCTATGTCGCCTCTATTAAGGTTTCTCATTAGCCACTACTATTATTGATAAACTCCAGGAATGTGAATAAGTAATTCAAAGCTCATTTCTAATTTATGTGTTGTTTTCTGCATAATTTTTATCTTGTGAACTGAATTCTTACACCAGGGATCAAAAAAGATTTTATGTCATATGTCATGTAAGACTAATTGGTAGTGGCTTTATGGAACATTACTAACAAGAATTCTGATGCTACATCTGGGTTCAGCATGAAAAGTTAATGTGGTTCATAAGTAATAGGAGACGACTGTGGAAAGCAGACATGGTTCATAAGCAATAGGAGGGGGCTGTGGAAAGTATATATGCACTGCGTATTTGTCATCCATGCCTTAAGCTAAGGGCGCAACCAATTTTCTATCTAGACAATAAAGGATTCACTCATCTAAACCATCAAATTCATTTCAGCAAATCTAACTATATTCCAATTTCCTAATGAGGTTTCATTATAAACCAAGAAATATATGGATACAGAAAACATTCTTCAATACACTATACTGAAAACTTTTTGTAGAGAAAGCTCAAGGTGTTGACCAAGGCCCAAGAAGGCTGCTTACCATAGAATCTATGAAGTTCCTATTTTCTCTGACACTTTCAAAACTTTAAGCACTCTGAAAAGTTTTTCAAAACTAGGTCTTCCTTTGTATTCTCTACCTATTTTATGCCACTGAAACTGATCTGATGATTTCCTCAGTGCACAAGTGTAGGAACTATACTGTCAGTCAGTTATTAACTTGACCAATTACAGTAACATTTCACCATCCTAAGACCAAATAGTATTTAGCAAAAAAAATGTATACATAGTAATAACAAAAGGTTACCCACATGACTCTCAGAAAAGACTACTCAGGTGCAGAGCCAATAAACATGTAAGCAGAGTACTGTGGCTTATATATAGGCTGAAACTCCTTTAAAGAGTTCTCTGGCTTTCTCATTTCTTTCTTCCCATTCGTTCTGAACCTGCTCCAATCAAGCTCCCCCTTCCACATACACATATTATTAATGTCCCCAGTGACTTCCATATTGCTAAATTCAGTGGTAAACTCTCATCTTACTTGACCTATCAACAGCATTAACATAGTTGATCCTTTCATTTTAACTGAAAGATCTTCTTCACTTGACTTCCAAAATATCACACTTACCTGGTTTTCCTCCCACCTCACTGGTTGACCTCACCTTGCTGGTTCTTCCTCATCTCCCTAACACGAAATTGTCCCTGGGCTCAGCATAAACGTTTCTATCTTACTTCCTTGGTAATCTCAGCTGAGCTCATGGCTTTAAATAAAATCTATATGCCAAGGATTTCCAAATATACATCTCCAACCCACACTTCATGATGCATGTACAGTGAGTACTGACATCTCCTCTTACATGTTTAAAAGGCACGTCAAACCTAACATATCCAAAATGAGCTCCTCATCAACCCCACCAAACCTCATACTGCTTTGTCCTCATCTCAGTTAATGCTTACCAGTTGCTCAGGCCAAAAACCTTGGGATCATCATTACTTCATTATCTACTTCTCTTCCTCACTCTCCATATTCAATCTACCAGAAAATTCTGTCAGCTCTGTCCTCAAAATATATATCTGCAATGTGACTTTCTACCTTTCCTCCTATTCTTCCTTCCCTTCCCAACCTTCTTTTTCTTCCCTACCCCTCCCAACACAGAGACGTCAGCTTCCGAGGAAGCAGGGCAACAAAGGTGATGGGGTTTTGTGCACAGTCATCTCCAGCAATGTGCCCCATATCCAAGGAAACAGGATGGTGTGGGAGAGACTATTGCCCAGCGAAGGTGCCAGCATGCCCCAGCCCAGTGGGAGGGGGAATGGAGTAGCAGATGGAAAAGGCAGCCTGAGTGGTTAGGAGAGTGGTCATACTGAACAAATATGTTAGGTGATTGTGCAAATGGTTGAATATATCTAAAATAATTAGAATGTTCTTGTTTCTCTTCAGAATGAATACATCTTTTGCCTTTTACTAAAATAATTGGAGTTAGATTTCTCACAGTTGGAGAAAGGATTTAAAAGCATGGAGAGAGGCCAGATGCGGTGGCTCACACCTGTAATCCCAGCACTTGGGAGGCTGAGGCAGGTGGATCACAAGGTCAGGAGATCAAGACCATCCTGGCTAACACAGTGAAACCCCATCTCTACTAAAAAATACAAAAAATTAGCCGGGCGTGCTGGCGGGTGCCTGTAGTCCCAGCTACTCAGGAGGCTGAGGCAGAAGAATGGTGTGAACCTGGGAGGCGGAGCTTGCAGTGAGCTGAGATTGCACCACTGTAATCCAGCCTGGGTGACAGAGTCAGACTCCATCTCAAAAAAAAAAAAAAAAAAAAGAGCATGGAAAGAGTCGGGAGACTAAAAGAATCCTAAGATGCTGGATTAGAACTAGAAGTATTAGTAAATAAACTCATTTAAAATATAACACATACAGATAGCTATAGAAATATATATATGTACACACATATACCGATGTTTGTATTATGCATATATACATATATACACACGCACATATACATATATACATGTATATATATATATTTCCTAGTTCTGTCTGCTAAGAGGTCCTAGAAGCAATGACATCCGAGTAGCAATGAAAATACTAGGTGACCAGATCTTGGATACTAAATACCATCTTCTACCAAACAGAAGTCCACTAAGGGGTTCCTTGGAGAAATAACCAATTAAAGGGCTGCAGCAGGGAAAGTGCCAAAATAAGCCTGGAAATCTTGCTGTGCCAGAAATTCTCAGCAAATGATAGGAACATGTCAAAAAGAACAAAGGCCCCAATATGAAAGAATTCTCAGTGGTCAAATCTGGGAAAATCTGAGAATCCGAATAAAATGAGAGTAGTAGTTTACCAACCACCAAATAAAAAAGAAATCAATAAGTTCATCACAGAAGGAAAGAAGGAAGGAAGGAAGGAAGGAAGGAAGGAATTCTTATAGTACAATGTCAATTAACAATGATAGAATGATAGAGTTAGATAGTTACCATTTGGCAACCATTAGAGTGGTAACTGATATAGAGTGGGGTTATTAATGAGGCTAGGGCTCATGGTTAGAGGTTTAATAAGAAAAGGATATTGGTGTCATGTCAGATTATCTCCCCCAAAATAGCAATAAAATACAAAATGGGAAGCAGTAGCTTTACAGTGGTGAAACCTGGAAGATAACAACTTGACCAAGTGATCATGTGAATATATCACAGGATGATATGATGGCATAGGAACATCACATAGTATTTTCACTACAACGTATACCTCATTTTATTCTGATGCTCAAATTTTCCCAGATTTGACCACTGGGAGTTCATTCATATTGGGGCCTTTGTTCTTTTTAACATGTTCATTTGCTGAGAATTTCTGGCACAAGATTTTCTGGGCTGATTTTGCACTTTCCCTGCAATTTCCCAGCCCTAGAATTGGTCATTTCTCCAAGGAACCCCTTAGTGGTTTAGGATCATCTTGTAGAATAAAAGACTTGTACTCTTTAAGACTGTCAAGGACATTAGAGACAGGAAAAGACTAAAGAACTGTTCCAGATTAAAGGACACTGATGAGACATAAGAAGTAAAAGCAATGAATGTTTGCAAGTAAAATTCTAGACTAGAAAAACAAATCATTATTGAAACAGATGGCAAACTTTGAACGGTGTCTTTGAATTGAATGATAGTGTTGTATCAATGTTTATCTCCTGACTGGAAGAAATATAAGGTAGTAATACAGGAATGTGGCCTTGTTTTGGGGGATAGAAGGATAGAGAATGTACACTATAGTATTTAAAGGTGATGGGTCAACACATCTCTCTCTCTTGAAAGGCAGAGAGAGAGAAATAGAGTAAATGCGGCAAAATTTAACAACTGAGGAATCTGGTAAAGGGCATGCAAGAGTTCTTTGCACTGTTCTTACAACTTTTCTATAGGTTTCAAACTATTTCAAAATTTTCAAATGTATGTATATATACATGTGTATATGCGTGTGTGTGTGTACATATCCATAATCCAACTACTTCTCATTACTCCACTGCTACTATTGTAACTCATGGGGATTGCTATAGTAGCTTCCAAAATGTCTCCCTACTTCTGCCCTTGCCCCTCTTTCAGTCTATTTCCAACAGAGCTCCTAAAGTGAGCCTATAAAAACAAAGGATGGGTTTTTTTTTGTTTTTGTTTTTTGGTTTTTTTTGAGACGGAGTCTCGCTGTGCCGCCCAGGCTGGAGTGCAGTGGCGCAATCTCGGCTCACTGCAAGCTCCGCCTCCCAGGTTCACGCCATTTTCCCGCCTCAGCCTCCGAGTAGCTGGGACTACAGGCGCCCGCCGCCGTGCCCGGCTACTTTTTTTGTATTTTTAGTAGAGACGGGGTTTCACCATGTCAGCCAGCATAGTCTCGATCTCCTGACCTCGTGATCCACCTGCCTTGGCCTCCCAAAGTGCTGGGATTACAGGCTTGAGCCACCGCGCCCGGCAACAAAGGATGTTATTGGGAGTCAGGATTCTCATAGTGGCAAAAGAGAAATACAAGCATATAGTGCAAGAAGGTGAAAAAGAACCCTGCGATGTTACCTTTGAAGTGTAACTATATTAAAATGAATTGATGCTTTTTAAAAATATTTCCTCATTCTTAGGAAATACATGGTGAAGTATTTAGGAGTTTCATATTATCTGCAGCCCACTTTAAGATGTGAAAGAGGAGGAAAGTGTGGGTAATATTAAGAGATAAAGTGAATGTGGCAGGATGTTAACAGTTGGTAAATCTAGATAAGGAAAATGCAGGTTTATCAATGTACTTATCTTTCAACTTTTCTGTGGTTAAAAAAATAACTGGGCCGGGCGCGGTGGCTCAAGCCTGTAATCCCAGCACTTTGGGAGGCCGAGACGGGTGGATCACGA